TTTGAAGACATGCCCAACTGCCTTCCTCAGAGCCCACCATCCTGTGCCGGCAACAAACTGTCTGCATTTCCCAACAGAGAGGAGTTCCAACTAGCAAGTGAACAGAATGCTTTTACTGTTTCTCAGGCATACTGAAAGATTTAGTTTTGATTTCCTATGAAGATCAGCTGATCAGACTATGCATCATGTATCCATACAAGATCTCCGACCTCTGCAGGAAACATAGCAAAGCCAGAGAAAAGCTGAAGAAAGGAGAGGCTAGAGACAGGCATAGCTCCCAGTCACTGAGACAGGCAAGAAACTGGAATGGCAGGGGGTAAGGCTGGCACACGCTTTGGGGGAAGGCAGACCCCTCCCCTACAGTGAAAGGACAATAACAAAGGAAAGGGGCAGAATTCCTTACACAGAAACACCACTCCCAAGGCTTGTCTCTGTTAAGCATGATCTAAGTCCCTGTACCATACAGAGACTGGAGCTGTGGCAGGTAGGACACTGTCTCAGCACACTGCAGTGCCATTCTTGTGCCACCCTGCAGGAACACGCTTTCTCAATGGGCAACATCAGGACACACTTCTGGACAGGCTCCGTGACACTTCCTACCCTCAGCCCCGACCTGACAAGTAACAGTGACATGCCCAGAAGGCACAAATGTCAACAGCTCTCTACAGCCTGGCTGGTGACACACTTGGGTAATAGATTAATGACTCTGTGGTACACCCTTTTATGAATGACACTGCACAGCTCAGAAATTCTAGCATTCTCGGTGCCGCTACCACCACCACCAGTGCTTGCTAGTACAAGAGGAAAAGGCTCCTGAAGGTTTGTACAAGAACTCCGTTTGTCCAGCTAGACAGAACTGTCCATCCAAATGACAAGTCCTGAGACAAGGCTCTCCAGCAAGCTTTATTGCTGCAACTTTCCTGGGAACTATACCACTAGCTCAGTTTCTTCCTTCTCTTGGCCTGTTTTGGCCCCAATTCAAGAGTTTCCATTTGTCTCTTGTTGCCACCTCCCTTCCTGCAAGAACCAGCAGTTGTTTGACCTGCTGCATATTCCCACTAAGTTAACCTTCACTTCCTCACATTTTTCAAGAAGCATTTCCATTGCTATGGCATGCTGTTAGAGTGGTCTGCACGAGTGATTCCTGCAAATGGCTTATGACAGGATCCTCCTCCAAACAGGCAAAACTGTTAACAGCTTTCTTACAAAGGGCATTAAAATCAATGGTAAAGGATGCAGTTTGCCATTACTTGAATAAAAGTGACACTTAGCAACATAAGCTTGTACTTGAGGAGGGACACATTTTGAAAACATTCTATGGAAAATGATTTTTTCAAGTATCTATATTTGATCAACACCTCAGACACAAAAAGAAACTGAATCTGCCAGAAAGTCTGATGCCTTCAGAGAGTGAAAGCATTAAATGCTGGAAGGACTGTATGGAGCACTCCCAAACCACTCAATCTACTGACCTTGGGGAAAGGAGAAAGAGAAGAGAAATTTTTAATTCTTCTGCAGCCCCCAATTACTTTATACCACATTGCTTTCCAGCTCTTCTAGGCTTCCAGACTAACTATTATAACTGAGGACTTTTAAAATAAATGTGCGTATAACTTACTCACCTTCAGTTGTTTAAACTCGCCCTGTCTCTTCCCATAAATTTTTAAATGAAAAAAAAATTAATATTACAATCTTCTATCAATAAGATGTATTATAGATCTCAAAAGGGGGTTTCATTTATTTCAGAATGTTGAAATTTGTTAAATTCACTCTAAAGGCTCCTCCTCTTTCTTAGGCTCCCTTTCAGCTATTGCTCAAGAACCTCAGTCCCCACAGACTTCGCACTCACAAACTGACTGCTATCAATTCGCAGGAAGTAACTTTAAACATACATATATGATAATAAAGCATCGTATTCATTCAGCATAGGCCACGCTAAGCTTCCCAAGTGTAGCTGCTACAACAAACAAGCCCATCAGCAACTGCTTTTCCCTAATGCCATATGCCTGACTTCTTGTTCCCTGTATGTACCCTCTGGAGAGGTTTACACCTGTGTTGCTCAATTTAAGATTAATATTTGAAAGACTGAATGCTGGGGCTAGGCAGTTAGTTACAGCACACAGCTGCAGCAATGGAAAACCTGCTCCCCCTCTCTGCAGAAGGTTTTCTCTCATACCATTGCCTTGGCACAGGAGGCAACTGCGTTTCCAGCATCCTTTGAGTTGCTCCTAGCTCAGCAGTGATTCTGCAAATTACCTGCTTGAGGAGCCAACAAATGTGCCATCTGCAGGGTATTACACTGCTGGACCTGAAGAGCCTTTGCTGCACCCACCTTCAATGCTGCGCAGTGACAGGAAGAATCATAGAAGGTTCTGATTTCATCACCAGACCATATATATCTGAGCCTTGCAAAAGAGTATTTGCAGTATCTAACAGCAGCCTCCTTTCCTAAGTGCTCTGCAAAGACTTTCAGAAAAACAGGTTCTGGCTCTGCTGGTGAGATCCTGTATTTTAACTTCTGACTAAATCGAGCAAGCATTAGGCCTGTACTACTGACTACTTTTGTTCTCCTAAATCAGAAACTCAGGAGGACATGAACAGGACAGACTCCTCACAGATGTTGTTTGAAAATCTTTGTTTTGTAAGTGACTTCTGTTGCCAGAATGATAATAAATGAATCCTTTTAGCTGCCAATAGCTGTCGGCAACTAATAGCTTGTTGCAAACATAGTGAACTAATAAAGGGCATCTACATGTTCTCAGGGCACCAGTCAGCACTGGAAAAGATTCTTGCATTTCAGTCACCACCACCTGTCTATTGTGTTATTTCTCTTCTAACAAAGCAAGATAGCATCTGCCACTGGCCCTAATCAGTAGGTACTGCTCAGAGTAACTGAGGCATGATAACCCTGTGACGCTCAACATACAACACCGTTGAAACAAGAGGTCTGCTCCTCACAAAATCTGACAGTGAAAATACACTGGCAAAGACAGTGTGACATGATATTCACGGACATGTGTAAAGTATACAACAAACGCATTCAGAGTAAGGGAGCTAATTCCAATCTTCCTGCCCTCACAATTTCTAGTCACAGGGCTTTTCTTAAAAAGTCATAACAAGCACCAAAGGTCTGTTTGTTACAATTTGCCTGTTTCCTTCAGGTCATCAAGGGAACATTTTTGCCTACAGACCTCAGTACCAAGGAGACTTGGATTTCTCATCTGTGAGAAATATTACGTATAAAATTCTGGGAACTAAGACATGGGTTTGTAGTGGAGTTTAAGACCCCCTTGTCATGTGAGGATGGCACCTGCTCACATCTACACCTATTCTAGGAAAGGTCAGTCTTGCAGAGAATAAAGGCCACAATTAAAAAAGGCCACAATTTCAGATTCCATGTCTGAGTGTAGTCTTCCCTAAATCCAGCCCATCACCCCACAGGTAGTGAGTACCAGCTCCACAGGAGAGCCCTGGGACCAATCACATTTCTTTGACAAGCAGCCAGAAAAGGAGGAGGGCTGCTGTGACCATGCAAGCCTTTACCAGCCTCAGGCATCACGGGGAGATTCAGACAGACTTCACCAGGTTGTTCCGACTACACTTCTCCTTTCAACAGGCCTAACAACCATCAGTTTGAAGAGGACAGTCAGGTTCATCATCTCAAAGAACACTGGATTTCCAAATCCAACTCAGGAACTATAGTAAAAATATGCTTCTCAGTTTCCAGTTTCTCATTTTGGCAGTCTGACTGTTACAAAACATACTAGGGCCTCCTAGGTTAAAAAAGATGGGTTTTTAACTATATACACACACTGAATTTCTTTACTGCTCACTGTTGTCAGATTTTCACTTTCAGCCTGAGGTCTCAGGACCAGTCAGTACTCAAAAGAAAGCAGGTACAGAACATTTAATAGTTGAGGCCTTCCTGAGAGGGAAGGGAATGGGGGAAAAAAAACCAAACAAACCCAAACCCACACACACACAAACTCAAAAAAACCCAAACAAACAAACAAACAAAAAAAACCCCTACAACACCAACCACCAAAAAAATCTCCCCTTAAAGAAATCTTCTCAATAGCTCTAAAGATGAAATAACTGGTAGTGGGGGGAAAAAAAAAAAAAAAAAAAGATGTAGAAGGGAAACAGCTTCAACTGAAGTGTTTTAATAAAACTAAGTTATTGGCCCTTGAAAAGGGGTAATGGCATATGCAGAGTCATTTACCAAAACCAACTGCCAGACCTTGGGAAAGAAGCCAACAGCTGTATAGTTCCAATTTAGCTATTTGCATATTAAAAAGATGATCACTGGAGGGTTGGACACTGAATGGAAGCCAGCTATCCTCACCCAGAGCCCTGTATGTTGCTAAGTGACGGGGGGAGTCCTATGTCATGCAGCTCACAAACCCACGGAGTGTTTAAGCAGGTGCTTAAGGTTAACCATGGTAATAGACCATTAACTCCACCTCTAATTAATACATGCAGATAAGCCTTTACAGATTAAAAGCTATATACCAGTCCAGCTGAAATTCTGACAGGTAAATCTTAGGAATAAATACACAGGGTTTCACAGACAGGTACGAACGCGTTCTGTCAGTACTCAGAGCCAGCTGAAAACAACAGTGCTGTGCAGCACTGTTCAAAACAACACGCCAAACTAAAGCGCTGCATGTATGATGGCAGCACTGTGGGTTCCTGCTTCCTAGCTGGTTCAGAGAACAGACAGGTGAAATCAGTCCAAAGCACAGACGTCAACTATCTACTAAAGACAGTGCAAGCATACCTTTTGTTGTCCTAGTTGCAAGAAAAGAAACAGGAAAAACAGTTAGCACACAATTTAAAAAAGATAAAACATATCCAAAGTGCAGGTTTTGTAAAGAGATATGTTTCTATTGCTCTATATTGCAATTTATTTAGGTTAGTATGCACACTGTTTCAAGATGTGGCAAATATCCTCATTTGTCCGCTTTTAGAATAGTGCGGTGTCATCAGTTCAAACTTACCTTCCTAGCTCTTCCCCAATTTCGTAAACATCCTCCACCTTCTGTTGCTTGAACAAAGCCATATTTGGACTTCTCATTGATGCACAAAGATGACGCAACTAGAATATTAAAAAAGAATGACATTCATTATGATCTTCCAACAGGCAAAGACTCAGCAAGATGCATTTCTGGTATAGTCACTTTGGATCCACTGCAGCTCATTCATGGTCGAAGTTACCACTGATCAATCAAAAGAATTAATTTAGCAGTCTCAGCCAAATAGTGAGTCTCCAAATCTGGAAAGAGGTGAGCACCTGTAAGTGAGGAGGGTTCTTGCCCCTCACGGGGTAACTGAGCACATACTTAACCAGAAGCACAGAACTCACCTTGGAACATAAGTGTAACCTAAGTAAAGCTAATTAATAATTTGACAAACTTATGGACAATAAAACATCCACACTACACTAAAGAGAGCTAGCATGGGAATCAGCATTACAGGCTACCTCTTCAAGTGTCAGCAGGCAGACCATGAAGCAAGGAGACCACGAGGCAGAGCTTCCTTTTTCTTAAGTCAGGCAGTGTTTCTGAAGCACATAGGCAGGACACCAAGTGGAAATCTTAACTGCTGCTGCAAAAAGGCATTGCGATTCCATCTACAGAGCTTTTGGTGCAACATTTTTCAGCACACACTAGGTGTTGCAAATGACAAAATCCCGAGCAGCATTTGTTACAACCATTATTCTGTGAAATTTGTTTCCTTAACACAATCTTTTAAGTTGGTAAGTTTGGTGAGGTCTGGAAAGACAAGCCTCATATTGGTGCATCTGAGGATCCGGGAGTGCCTTATGTGGTACTACTTTTGGAAGAAAAGATCAGAGATCACACCATGTTGTTAACAGAATGGATTATAACATAACAACCAGCCTACTAGTTCACAACATTTGGCATTTGCTGTGTAGATGAACACTAGCATTATCCTCATTATGGCCCAAACAACATCCACTATTTTGATCAGAACACGTAAAGTAGCTGCAAGGCCTCTAGCATTACAATAAAAATCTAAGTACATTGAGCCATACAGTTATTCTCACATAGGCTTCAGCAGCGTATCAGTACTTCTCAGTGTAATGTCTATTTCCTTACGAATCCCAGGTGCTGCCTGCTTCAGATGCACTGGGGACTTCCAGGTTCTGTATTTTGATATAGCTCCTGCATGTTTTTAAGTAGCAGTCTTTGGCATCCGACTGTGGCACACTGTGAAGCGTATTTCACAAGGAAACACAGCTCTATTTTGATCCTTTAGAAATAAGCTCAATTCAATGTTGCAAGAAGATCCAGCTATTTTGATAAATAGAAGCAGACTTCTTATAAAATAGGCCAAAGTACAAAAAAGCAATTGCATGGTTCCTGCCAAGCTGAAATGCACAAATTTTTACAGATTTTTCTCTAACAAAAGCATATACCGTAAGCAGCAAACACATTGTAAAAATCTAACAGCTTGTCAAAACACACCCAGCTTTTGTGATGCACTCACCTCAAAAAAAGGACTGGCTGCTTTGTTTTCACTCTTCTTTTTTATAAACGATTGGCTTCTAACACATGGGAGGCATGTTGAGTATCAATTCAATTCCTTTCCAAATACGCTCCTTCTACTGATTCAAAGGAACAGAAACAGTCTCAGCTCTTCCACATATAGTTTTTGGCTGATGTTAGCAAAACCTACATATCGGAACAAAAATTATTTGACTGCTTTACCTCAAGCAGAAAGGCTACTGCATCAATGCTTACACTGTATTAGTTGGGAATAACATTCACTCTTTCAAAAAACAATAAGGAAAGGAGTGTCAACAAAATCAGATGTCACTCTATCAGGCGCTCAGCACCAGCTACACAATGCACAGGCTGAGCGACAGTACCTGCTTCCACCCTCTGGTGACAGTTCTGCGTAATTCCGTGATAGCTCTCACCATATACTTACCATGTCCGTGCAGTGCATCCTTCTGGATTGCCGTTTCCAAAGCACAAAGAATTCCAGCAGGACTCTGGTTGAGACCATCCATTTCCCTTCACTCTTTACCCTTTCACCACATCTCCTCAGGTGGAGAGCTTCTCATGGTCCGCAGCCAGCCTACAGCCTGCCCTCCTCTATGCTCTTTCCTCTGAGATGGAGGAGAACAAGCAGGGCACATGCATTATTCTAGGAAGCCCCACTCTCTCTCCCCCTGAGGAACCCACAACTTCACTCCTATCAAATGATGTGAAATTTTTCAGCTATACATCAAATGCGCGTCTTCTCCTTTTCGCAGGGTGCATATCCATACACTGCATGGAATAGTATGCATGTTGTGATGTGGCATGGATCTGTCATAACCAAAACACATTTCTCTCACATTTCAGAAGAACCTACCATTTCCCCTGCACGACAGACACTTGCAGGCACCTCATGGAGGAGAGGGAGGTGCAAGGTATCCCTAGCAACAGCTTCCATGCCCTCAACAGCAGCCTTGCCAGAGGTCTCCACTGCAGATGTGATGGCTTTTTTCAAGGTTCTGTGGGGCCTACTGCATTTTCATTGACTAATCTGTTCAAATCCCAGTCTCAAGACTCTGCAATGGAGACAAATTCACCTCCCATGCCTTCCTGTATAACTGTGCCCTAGTGATGAGCTCTCTTAACCAGCTACCTAAAGTAAATGACAGAAACCACATTGGTTGTGACACTGCAGACCAAAATAACCATAGCACTATTCAAGTATACTGTAGAAATCAACCCTTGCATTGGCGAGCCTTGACTACATGCATTACAACGTGGGGTTTTCTTTTACTTCCACTTTCCATCCCTGTATTTCTCAGACATTGTCTGACTTATCCTTACTTTGCTTATATTTTCAGAGTTTTTCAAGGTGAAGCCAGGTGGAACGTTCTGCTACTTTGCTCATTAATTCCCTTCCCAAAGTCACAACCATGCCTGGGACAAAATATGTCTTTTTCCTCTCAATTAAAATAAACAACTCAAATTTTGCTTTGTAAGCAAATTATTGCATTCCTCAAGCAACCTTTCGTAATCTCAGAGAAAGCTCATTGACCAACATTGCTCGGGGCTTGAAACTACAGTCAATAAATGCTTTAGTAGTATTACAAGAATGAGGACATCTCTGAGCTACTGGCTCCATACTAAGTTCATATAATGTTGCTTCTAATTGCTCAGAGCAGGATTTTCTGAAGTGTTGGTGCAAAGCCTAGTTCAACACCCACAGACTTCAGAAAAAGCCAACAAAGGACAAAGCCAAGCTTTGCTGAAAACCCAAACCTTTTGCTCATCCTGAACTGCAAGATTAAGTTCTGAGCACATGCAAAAGTCAAGTATGGGAAAATGTCCATGTCTTAAGACATACTGCTGAGACTTGCCCAAAGACTGTAAATCCCTCAAAGCTGACTACTCCCTTCATCAGAATCCAAGGTACGTGGCTATAAACAATATTAAAGCAGACACACCTAAAAGAAAACCATTGTTCTAAGAGAGAGAGAGTTGGTCATTCAGAAGAGCAAGTTAAAAACGTTGCTTTGAGAATGGGGAACGCACCCAAGATGCCTCTGGGAACATAGCCGCTTTATGTTTGATTGACAAGTTTACTCATTTCCCAGCATCCTCCAAAGAACACACCTACTTCTGCAGATGCATAGAATCCCTGCAATATTATCTAAAAAATAACCAGAAAATTCTCATCCCTTTTGATGATCTTTTAACTTATACCCTAGTTCTGCAAAGGTCAAACCAGCAAGTTTACTCTCAACAGCACGGAACCGTTCCAGCACCCAAGTTAGACTATAGCCTTGTTATTGAAGACTGAAACCAAACTGTTCCAAATTGTTCAGACTTTCCAGTCATACCTCTGATGTGCTGGCGTTTCCCATGTCTATCACTTCATGTTCTCTTATACTGCCTTCCCCTCTCGTTACTTCTGCAGATATCTCTCACTGGCTCTCACCCAACAGTCACAGCGAGCAGATGTCCAAAATAGATCATACACTTGGTGATCCAAGACAATTGTCATTAGCAAATACACAGCGTAAGGGGGATAAGATAATAAAAGGTAACCTCCATGCACTTCAAATTGATCTGAAATAAAAAAAGCTATTCACAAGCATAAACATAACCCTCCCCAGATATGAGATACTGATGTTAGGAAGCTACAGTGACTTCACATTCAAAGGTCTAAACTACAGTGTTTTTCTTGGACCCCGTTTGCAAGCGCACAGCACAAGTATATCAAAGGAGGAATGAGCACCTTGATTTTTTTCTCTAGTCAGATGGTGATTTCCTTCTGCTAGTTAGTGAAAACAGACTGAATCAGAGATGAATGACCATCTTTGACTTATGCAAAGAAGTTGTACATTCATGATCTGAGGAAATAGCAACAGTCAACTTCATTTTCTGATACAGCCTTTTTGCTGACACTTCTGGGGCATACACCCAAACAATACCACAATACAATGCATCAGGACCATTCCAATTACTTAGGTCTGGACCAGAATTCATTAAAATCAGGAGGATCGGGCAATCTGCTGCAGTGATCTTTGGATGAGACCAGAGCTTTAAGAGCTCCAAGACAGGCTCTGCAGAGGACAGAGCTTTCTGTGTCCTTATACAGAACCTGCCACGTTTACTTTTCCACCATCCTATGTTGGGGCCATCAACTCTGCTATCAGGCTCTTTGCTCTAGGATTCCTACAGCGAGCATTTGAATATAAAGGTCAGCTTCTACTCAGCGTTCATATTACTTACTGTGTTTTCATAATCATACTCCATAGTACAGTATATGATACTTCACCTTTTACTCCGGTATCCAACTCCCCTTTACGCATCTCAAATATCATCCAGTGGCAAAGTATTGTTTATCTTACACAAACGCTTTCCCTTCCTACAGACATGTAACAAAGCTGTAGCAAAACCAGAAATACAATACAGACCTCTCACATTCCAGTTTCAGGCCCAGAAACATGCCCTGCCTCATCTCTTCACATTCCTTAATTCTGTCATACCACAAAACTGGACCTTAAGAAATCACAATTTCCCATTGTGACCTAAGGCATAATTT